TGATGGACGTGGAGAGGAGCAAAGGCCTCAAGGCGCTGAGCCGAGAGCGGAGGCAGAGACTGGAGGCTTATCAGAACCTCTTCTATCTGCTCCAGGTGGGTCACTGTGTGCGTGCGTGCGTGCGTGCGTGTGTGAGAGACAGAGAAGGGGGTAAGGGGTGAAAAGTGGTCAGCCTCCAAGTCCACTCAATGTGATGCTGCGTTTCAGACTCAGCCGTCCTACTTGGCGCAGCTGATCTTCCTGATGCCGCAGAGCCGCTGCTCGTCCTTCATGGAGATGCTCGTCTTCAGCCTGTTTAACTACGGAGCGGACGATCGGGAAGCCTTTCTGCTTCTGCAGCTGTTCACGCAGGCGCTACACTTCGAGATCAGGTCACATACCGAGTCGCTTCTACTCATTTTTACTTTCCCGCTGCATGTGTCTCGGCTTGCTTCAGTTCTGAAAGCGTATTGAACTCATTCACTGCCAGCCATTTTTAATATCTCTTACACAACACTATAAAACATTTTCAACAAGACTGAATGTCGTACTAATGAGTGCGTTCTGGTCAGGTCCAATGTGACTGAACCCCGGGACGTGATCAGGGGAAACCCCTTCGTGATCAAGATGCTGGTCAACTTCTACCGACACGAGCGCGGTCGCAACGTCCTGCGTGAGGTGCTGGGTCCGGCGCTGCGCGACATCTTGGCTGACGGCGACCTCGACGTGAGGACCGACCCCGTGGAGGTATACAAGACCTGGATCAACCAGACAGAGAGCCGGAGCGGATTCAAGAGGTCTGAACGTGCGCTCGAGAATCCTTCGCCCACTGGGCGTCCGCTCACTCCTAATGTGTTCCCGCCTCGCCCGCCAGCTCGCTTCCCTACGACGTCTCCCCCGAGGACGCTTTGTCTCATCCCGAAGTCCGGCGCCGCGTTGACATCGCCGTGGTCAACCTGCACAACCTGACCCAGAGAATCCTCAAGGCCATCACGTCCAACATCAACAAACTCCCGTAAGCCGTTGCCTCTTGATCAGTTCCTCCTCCTCCTCCCCCTCCTCTTTACACGACTGCTTGTGTTTATGCAGATATGGCTTGCGCTACACAGCGAAGGTTCTTGGAGACACCCTGAGGTCAACGTTTCCGGCTGCCAGCGAGGATGACGTCTACAAGGTCATCACAAATGTTTCTTATTGCCTCATATTGACTTGAATTGACCATTATGAGGTCATAACAAAATCAAACATAAACGTGGCGGCACGCTGAATAACTGGTTAGCACGGGGGTGTCAAAATCATTTTAGTCGCGGGCCAATTTGGAGTTGCGTCTTCCCTATGACAGTGAAACCACAAAATTATTACTTGGACACAACAAATTAATAGATTACTCGTGAAAACAGTCAAGTCAATTATAATTGTTCAATTATTATTCAAGTGTGCGTAAACAGGGTAACAAAATTATTGCAAAATCTCAACGTTAATTATTACACGTGACAATTTGAGATTTCGGTGCAGATTTTAGCAAGTTGACACACATGATTTGCTTTCGCGGGCCACATAAAATGATCTGGCGGGCCGGATCTGGGCCCCCGGGCCTTGAGTTTGACATCAGTGGGTTAGCATATCCGCCTCGCAGTTCAGAGGCGGTGTGTTTCAAATCTGAGCTCTAACTTTCCTGTGTGGAGTTAGTATGTTTGTCGGAGCCGGAAGCTATGCTTTTGCGTGGGTTTTCTTCGACTACTTTGGCTTCCTCCCACATTCCCAAATAAGCCCGGCTTCCTTGATGATTCCAAATTTTGCTTGTGGATCTTCTCATTCATCCAGCTTCTTGCCCGCCTTATGTCTGCACGCAGGTGCTTTGCAACCTGGTGTATTACCGCTTCATGAACCCCGCCATCGTGGCGCCGGATGCTTTTGACGTGTTGGAGCCTTCGGGGGTGCCGGGAGGGCTGCGGCCAGAGCGGCGCCGCCTGCTGGGCTCGGCGGCCCGACTGTTGCAACGCGCCGCCACCGGCGAGCTCTTCCTCGGAAGCGGCGAGCACGTCGCCGCACTCAACCGCTACGTCACGCACGCGCACGCCACCTTCAGGTCATTACGCAAACTGCCGCCTCCTCAACAAAACAACGGCAACAATGTTCTGCTCTGTGTTGGTGTACGATAGCATAGAATTTGAGGAAATATGCACCTCACATGCATATTTTGTATTCTGCATAAAACTTTCAAAGACACAGAAGTGATCCAAGAAATAGATGCCCGGTACTTTGCCTAACCCCGGCGATATACAGTAGGAAGGACGACTGTAGTTTGTGATCTTGTCACGTGACAGGAAGTTTGTACGGCGCGTGTGCGACGTTCCCAATCCGTCTCAGCACTTCCGGATGGACGAGTACTCGGAGACGCTGATCGTCAGTCGGCCGCTCGTCTACATCTCGCTGGGCGAGCTGCTCAATACGCACAAAGTACGTATTCACATGCATTCAGTGAACGCTTGTCGGGGCCACTTGTGTTATTGATGTGGTGGCTTTTAGCTGTTGCTGGAGCACCGCGATGCTTTGTGTCCCGAGCCCTCGGACCAGCTCAGACTCCTGCTCGCCGATGTCGGTCCCATTCCAACCCTACAGGAGCTTGTGGGTACTGCGACTACGACAGCCCCAGGTACTCGCAGCATCTCTTCGATAATGATGGTGATTGTGGTGATGATGTGAGCGTGACGCTGGGGTGTTTTTTTTTGCGTTCCTCAGCCGATCCAGGGTGCGAGTGGGCTTGGAGCAAGACGGAAGTTTCTCTGATGCTCACAAACAAGTTTGAAGTTTTCGACGAGCACGACGACGATTCGGCTGACGCGGGCGCGCTGCTGCTCTCGTACGTGGTCGTGCTCTGCCGCTACTTTGGGGCGGGCCGGCGGCTGGCTATGCTAACGGCGCTTTTATGTTCAGCACCAAGCAGCTGATGGCGGACGTCATCCGGACGCAGCCGGGGGACACGCTCGCCGACGTTCTCAGAGCTGCTGTGTCGCCCGACCAGGTCAGATCGGTTCTGGTGCTTCGTCGACTCCCCGTCGTGATCGTAATGGCGGTGGAGGTCAAGACTACCTCTCCGTTCTTGCTTGGGATTTGGATAGAAAGCAGTTGAGCTCGCTTTGGCTTTCTCGTATGTTGTCATCTGCTAATTTGTGAGCAAATGGGACAGACGAGACCTTTCCTCTTCTGCAGGCACCTACATATGTCCATTTTTCTTTTTTTAAGGATCATGCAAATGCACCTGTGTAAGTCTCGATGTCTCTTTCATTCTTGTCTAATTTCTCGTTTTTTTGGTTCTTTTGTTGTTTTGTCTTGTGTCTCTTTGTGTGTTGATGCGTCTCACTCTTATGTTGTTGTGCACTGTTGCATGATCGAATGTGGTAATGGCCTGACGGCAGGCGTATTTGAGTGCTGGCCAATCATTTAGCACGGCAAGAAGGCTTGATGTTTGGCATTGTGTATTCATTGCTCACTGTCGCTTCTGGAAACAGGAACTGCGCCACAAGGAGCTGATGCATCGCCGCATTGCGCAAGATGCAAACACGCCGGACAAGATGAAGAGGAGGAGATCCACCTTGGCCACCACCTCTTTGAGCCTGGAGGAGAAGAAGCGAAAGATCGGCAGAAGCGTTCGCCGTCTGGAAGCGTTGGGCATCCTCCCGGCGACACGCGGCCATGAGCGCATCCTCAAAATGATTGCGCAGGTAACACGCCGAACATCCCGCTAGCCGCTTCTGCTTTCCCGGCGCTTACGCCGCTGCTTCCCGCCCGTCATAGGATGTCCGCAACCAGCGCGTGCACCGCCGGCGTCGGGGGGGAGAGCTTGTGAAACTTGGCCAGACACTGCACGGCCTACGCGACAAAAGCAACTTTCTCGGCCAGCAGGCGGACTACTACGGGCATTACATCGCTTCCTGTCTGGACAAGCTGACAACCAAAGAGTAAGTCGCTCAGCTACACGAAAGCCGCTCCTCGACGCCCATCTATCGTTTGTCGCTTTGCAGCCGAGCCTCCGTGAAGAAAACGGCAGATGCCCGAGCGAAGAAGAAAGTTCCTGTCATGAGCTACACGGCCACGCGCCTACATGAGAAAGGTGTTTTGCTGGAGATCCAGGACCTGCCCTCCACCCAGTGAGTGTGCGCACACGCACACAGACACACACACACACACACACACACACACACAAACAAAAAAAACACTTGTCAAAGTGCACACAAGGGGCCTGACGACATTACATTCAACACCAATTTCGAATCTTGGAAATGGCACCTGAATGTCACAATTGGGCAGGTTGCCCCAAGACGAAGTTGTTCAACTCTAGTTAGTCGCTCAACAACCTTTTTTTTTTTTTTTGAGGGGGGCGGGGTCTTAAAAACCTCACTGGCTTTTAGAGAAGTGAGGATTCTGCCTGACCAACGGCAACGATAAACATTAATCGAAGATCATATTTACAGATAGTCCATATAATCACTGTGCATATAAATGTCACCATGACTCTCTTGCTACAACAGGTTATGACTGAACCTGAGTAAAGATACAAAATATGCCAGAAAAAAATTGCATTGGGGGGGGGGAGTGAGTTTTCAGAATAAGTCTGAATATGCACAAATGTGGTACGAATGAATAGTTACCTAATCCACTCCGACAAGTTGAGCCATCCCATGGTAACGCCAGTGTCTCATTGGAATGAAGGTTCAAGAACGTGGTCTTCGATATCGTCAACGGCACAGAGAAAGGAAGCTTCCTCATCAAAGCTCGCTTCCTCGGCGTCGACATGGAAGAATTCCACATCAAATATCAGGTAACCGTCAAAGCAAAACCACACACATCAGTACCAAGCCCTCAATCAGTCAATCAATCCATCCATCCCTCCAAACTAGGACCTGCTCCAGCTCCAGTACGAAGGCGTGGCGGTGATGAAGATGTTTGACAAAGCAAAAGTTAATGTCAACTTGCTCATCTTTCTCCTCAACAAAAAGTTCTTCAACAAATGAAAAGTGTGTTTGTGTGTGTGTTTATTCATGTTTTCTTTCACCAATAGATAACCAACAGTCCTGTATACATATTTGTTTGTTTTTCACATTTATCAATAAATAATATTTTGTGTAAGACAAAACATGGAAGTGTTTCATTGAACAGCCAAAAGAATGGGAGCCAGCCCCCCGTTCAAGTGGGTATGTGCCACTCGCTAAAATCCTTACCGCAAGCTTCATTATTTCTTCCATTGGCACTTATGAAATTATATATATATGGTTAAGAATTATTGAAAACACTATATGTGCACTACATACACAGTATATACTGTATTTTTATGTCTTGGCACCGGGGGACTGTCTCTCGCTTGCTTAATCCTGGAAATTGATTGTTTGGGTCTGCATGAAAGCTTCTGTGCATTTTAATGGAATGTAATTAGTGAGGTCATCATGCGGTGGCGATTGCTATTTTGAATCACGGGGACTCGCCACTCATGAAATCTTACTGCAGAACCCCGCACATTGCGAGTGTACAGTGGAGGCTTGCGCAGTTCCGTTGATTCTGCTTCAATTGATTGCCGCATGTTGTCATGGAAACGAAACAGAGGCTAGGCCGAGGCCGAGGCAGAGCGGGAACAGGCCGTTTTGGAAACGTGTCATTCCGGATTGGTCAAAATGTCAAACACATTAGCTCCATCCATCACTCATGATTATTGGCCTGAGATGTGATGTGATAACATTTATACGTTGTCAAATACTTGCAGATGCATCTAGATACATCAAAATTTACTGCACGTTTCAATAAAGTGTAAGTATGAAACAGAAATGATCAAACATGTGAAGGAGGGCAAAATCTGTGCCACAGAAAAATAGTTGCGAGTTGCTCATTTCTGGTTGAGCAGAATTAGTCGGCCCCCACATGACCCCATCCACGAAGAGGTCAATCCCCGTTGGATTCGATGACTTTCTCAGCCAGAATCTCCTGGAACGTGGAGAGCTGCTTCATCTGTTCCGTCTGCATGGAGTGCCTCCTCATGAGCTTTTTTTTCATTTTGAAGTCAGGACCACGTTTCGGCGAAGCCGGGGCCACGGGAACCAGGATCTTATGAGTGCTGTGGACCGGTGAGGGGGGCTTGCTGTTGGAGCGGATATCCGGGATGGGTCTCTGGGGGTTGATGTTGAGCGGCGGCAGAAATCCGGGCCTGGTGTGTGATATGCGGTCGAGAAGGAAGGTCCCGGAGCCGCGGCGCTCAAGGAGTCCAGGGCTCCGGCGGCGCACAGCCGCAGGCGACACGGAGTTGGGGATGTTCTCGAGAGATTCCCGAGACGAGCTGTTGACCAGAGAATGGGGGGACGTGTTGTACTTCCTCCGCTCCAAGGACACCGGCCCAGAGTCGGGAGATCCGGGGATGGATTCCTGACCCGCGTGGCTGTCCGCCTCGCAGTGGTCCGACCGAGTCAATTTGGGATGAGTTGATATCTGCAGGTTGGTGTTTTCTTTGGACTCCGGGTTCCTGCAATATAAGATTTGGTGCTGTTGAACATTGTCCGCCCAGGAGGAGGGGGAGAGAACGACCTGGTCCTCGGAGCAGGACCGATCCGTGACTGTTGGGGAAGAAGGCTCGTGGGTCTCGATGCTGTGTCGCCGTGACAGCAGAGCTCGAGCGGGCTGGGTGAGGCACAGTCCGTTGATTCGTTGACTAAGACGACAGATGCCCTCCGCTTCCTCCAAACGCCCCCTGGCGCTCTCCTGAGGCACTGCGGCTGAGGCCAAGGGTGCCACCAGGCCCCAAGGCTCAGAGTTGAGCCTCTTGAGGAGCTTGCGTGGAGGCGCCGCCACCGTCCCCATTCTCTTTTCTCCCAGAGGGCGGCCATTGGGGGGCGGCAGTGCGCAGGCAAGCGGGAAGCTGAAGATCCTATCTTCTTCTTTGTCTCTCCCGCGCTCGGCCGGAGACGAGGTCACAATCTCCACGTCCGATGGCGACATGCAGGCGGCGGTGGCTGCGGCGGGTGTGGACTCGGGGGACACCTTATCCACCACGCCTGGAGACGGAGGAGAGTTCAGGTACTGCTTTGTCTTTTTGGTACCAGATGGAGACGTGTCGGTGGTAATGATGATGACCTCCTTGCCTTTGGCCCTGCAGGCGTCCAGCAGGACCTGCAGGGTGTCACGGTCGCCCTTGTTGAGGGCGTGCATGAGGGCGGAACACCCCGAGTAGTCTTTGAGGCTGGGGTCGGCCCCGTTCTCCAGCAGGAGGGAAACGGCCTCCTTCCCGGCCCGCTTGGCGCAGGCGTGCATTAGGGCTGTCCTGCCGCTCTTGTCTGGAATGTTGGGGTCAGCGCCTTTCTCCAGCAAATAGCGCACCATCCGGAGGCGGGTCCGAGGGTCCTCATAGTCGGCCAGGCAGGCAGCCGACACCGGAGTTTGGCCCAGCTCATTGCCCTCGTTGACGTACGCGCCGCCCTCCAGCAGCAGACGGCTCAGCCTCAGCTTCCCTTGAGAGACGGCTTTGAGGAGGGCGTTGCCTTCCATCTGCAGGGGGTCTCCGTCTCCCATGGTCAGCTCTGCCCGCCCCACCGGGTGGTCTTTTAAGATGTCGTTGGACCTGGGGGGGAAACCAGAGAAATTGGTTTTGTGATGACAGCACAGTAGCCAGGTTTCTATGCAGACTTTTTTTTTTTTTTTTTTTTGTGAATCCATCTCTGGTCAGCTGTTTTGATGTGACATGACCTATTCTTATCTGCTTTTTACACGTGCCACTATAGTGAATCACAACAACCGTTTTACAAACAGGTGTCATGCTCAGATCGATGTAAACATCATTTGATCAGATAAAAGCTAACAATTCCATATGAAATGTACTGCATGTCTGTCTTTGCAATACGCATATTGTATAGGCCAGTATCTCCGTGATGATATTTTTGCGATTTATTGTGCAGCCCTACTGCGTTGTGATATTGCGCTGATGCCACAGCTGGCATGGAGATGTACAGTGACATCACAGCTGGTTTTGTGATGTCACCGCTAGTGTGATGACGTGCAGTGATATCACAGCTGGGTTTGTGATGATAACACAACAGTGACAGTGACATCACATTCAAAACTGCAAGGTTAGAGTTCCCTATCAAGTGTGCTAGCATTAGCTGCTGACTGTCGCGTCATAACTGATAGTTAGCATAGCATAGCATCATTTACCTGACATGATGGTGACGTCACGTAGGAGCAGTGCGACCGCTTGCAGGCGCACGTCACGTTTGGCCGTTCATGCGCGATGATGGTGATGATGATGATGATGATGTGACATGTCAAGATTGACGCCTCACATTTCGCTTGACGATCCCCAAAACGCTCCGCGCGTGCAGTCACGCCAACTCGGGCGCGCACACACGGCCGCGGGCCCGCGCCAGGTTCGCACGACTGCTTGTACGTCAGAACAAAGACAATTGATTTTCTTCCTACCGCCGGGCGAGAGAATCTTCATCATCATCCTCATCTTCATCAGAAAGCCGCCGAGAGACCGACGAATTGATCCTGATCCTTCTCCTCCTCCTCCACCTACCTCCTCCTCTTCCTCACTGAGCAGTTTAACCCTTTGCTGGCTGCCCCTAAGTCACGTTGGCTGCGTTAACATGAGCAGACATTTTGTCAAGTTAACTTCACCGTCACCATGGTAACTGAGAAACGCCTCTTGTTTGCAGGTACTAGAAATCGCGCCCACCGACCAGTCAAGAGCTGTGAGACTCGAAGCATTTTTTTACACGGGACAAAAATATAAACGCACCACTTTTGTTTTTGCTTGCATTTTTCATGAGCATCCCCAGGCGCCCCTCTGCAAGAATCACGTTGTCGAATCAACATCTTGATTGGGCACTTCTGTAATTTACCTCGGCAAAAAAGAAGAGCTCACTTTAGCGTTCGACAGATCTGTCACTGATAATAACAGATGCAGTTACTTCATGACGCACAGGGGAACAAGAGTGCCAAATGAAACAAATAAATCGTCAAATTATGAAATATTCATATTTATTGAAATCCAGAAATCAATATTGAAATCGTGAATTGATCATGTAAATAACAAATTCAATTCTGAACTACATAAACACCGACCCGTTGAAATACATGGGTTTTTTTCGGGCCTCGCGCTTGAGAAATGTATTCCTCCAGGTCGGCAGGTGGCGACATATTGTTGCCACTGCGCTATGACTGGCGCCATTTCAGGGGAAACTGGATTGTTATTGGCGGAAATCAAACTGACATGCTGCAAACGAGCTGGGAACAAACATTCGACGGTAAATGATCTTCTTTGACATGTTTTAGTGTTGAGCCTTTCAAAATGAATGTCATTCAACAATTTATTATCATTTACAAGCGACACTTGTACTGACTGAACAGAACGTCTTCGGCAAGTTGAATGGCTCATGCAATACAATACAAGCACTATCTGTTTGTCAATTGTAGAATTAAAAAAAAAATCCCCTAATTTACAATTCCCTTCACCGTTTTGGGTCACATGCTTCTATGACGTGAGTAGTTAACCTATGTTGAACAATTCTGTCCTCCGATGGGTGAATAGATAGACTTGGTGAATCCCTTTAAGATTACTTGTGTACTTGTTTGTGTTCATGTAGATAGGTCGAGCATATAAATAGGAATCAAATCTCTCTTTTTGAATTGATGTTATTAGCGAGGATGCATGAGGACGATGCAGAAGAGGGGAAGGAGACTTTTTCGGTCAAACTAAGGAGCGCTGGACTGGAAGATGAATGGAGACCTTCGGCAGGTGACTTAGAACGAATATGACGTCATCATGATCAAGTGTCATCATCTCATGATGACGTCTTCCTTGTTACTCAGGTGGGCAACAACTGGAGGAGTCCAGCGAAGACGAGTTGGGCCGATTGGACATCGATTTGGACAGAAAGTCCAGACAACTCAACTTGACGTCCGGCAACGTGCGCACCATCTTGCATGTCAGTCACAAGCGCGGTACACACACACACACACACACACACACACACACACACACACACACACACACACACACACACACACACATTCTGTTGTATGGAATCCAGTTGAAAGAAATTCACAAAGTAGTCATCTCGACCAGGGATGGGGAACTTCCTGCACTTTTTGTGCACTTCAGCTTGTTTCGTTTTCTCAGGAGGTGATTACTCACGAACGTGTGGTGGACATGATGAAAGCCGCCATCAGAGCCACCCAGGACATGCCCATGTTTGTAGGTCACGTTGCACCACTAACATGGATGACCTTCAAAATAAGCCAGGATCATGACGGCTTGTCTTTTGTCACCAAACCAGGAGCCAAAGATGACACGCGCAAGATTGAAGAGGGCCATCCAACAAGGACAGGTGATTGATTAGCCACGCACAAATAGCCGTTCATCATCATCATCATCATCATCATCTACATAACAAGCTGTCCTTGTGTTGTGTTGCTGTCTAGTGTCTCGACTGGAATTTTTCTGCAGAACAAAATTTGCCGGTAAAACGTCACAACTGCATATCCAATGTCAATGGGCTGAGTGAAATGCTGACTCCACGTTTTGTCTTCAAGCATCCTCAGTTTGTCGACATCCATCTCGACGCCGACGAAGACTCATCAGATGAAGAGTACTGCCCTGAAGACGAAGAAGATTATGACACGGCTGAAGAGGTCTGCCTTTGTATTAACACGCACTGGTGATGCATGTGGCTTCTGCCTGTCATGTTGCTGTAACATAATTTGATGTCACCCAAATGTTCTCTTGTTTGCTATTTTTGTGTGCACGCAGACTTTCCTCAGTGATGGTGACATCATTTCGCCTGACAAAGTTCAACACTGTGACTCCAATTCCCAGGTAACCTTTGACCTCTCGTCTTCTTTGGAGTGCCGTTGTTTCGTGCTGAACGTTGACGTGACCTCTGGCGCAATTCTTTTTTTTAGCGGCACTCGATGCCCGCCGTCCTCCAGCTCACAGATGCCACCGGCCCCTCCTTCCTGGAACGCCTGAACGCTGTGGAGGAGGAACTCAACTGCGGTCCCGCCTACTCTTCCTTGTCGGTAAACATCTGCAGTCTGCAGTTGGGACACGGCGGCATGGTAGCTTCCTGTCGCTGGGCCTGCGCACGGCATCAAGCTCTTGAAAGTATCTTCGCCATCTGCCAGAATGATGGACGGAAAAAATTGCTGAGATCAGAGGGGGGGAAAAAGCTGAAATATTAATAAGCCCTAAAATTTGTATATTTGCAATTGTGTGCAGTCTCATGGGGCAGGCGAGAAGAAAGAGGAGGAAGAGGAGAAGGATGAAGGATCTAGCGGGTTGGCGTTCCGCACGCGTTCCAAACTTCCCCTGGTCAACGTCCCCCTGGAGCAACTGGAGGCGGAGCTTCTGGCTCCTGACATCACAGCCGACATGTATGAGCAAAGCCCCGCCCGCAAGGAGGAAGATTGCCATTGGGCACGCTGGCTGCATGGACTCATGGCGGCAGACAACGGAGGTCAGGATAAGATGAATGGTCACCTGTTGGGCTAAACTTGGGAAAAACATCCGAACCGGAGCAAATCTTCACCCGTGTTCTCATGCCATGCATGACTCATATCCAGTGAGGCCACTAATGCACCACTATTCTAATTTGATCACTTTTTTAAACATAGCAAGTCGTAAAGTAACGTGAGGTCTTCTGGGAAATGGGCCCTTTCTGGGGGAATGATGTCACATCTGCGCCAGTTCACATTTTCAACCTGTGGACAAATCATGTTTACCGCACATGCCTACAAGACTGTGAGTGTTTTCAAACGCTCACTTTTTTTTACTTGTTTGTGCAGAGGAAGCCGACGACGATGACGACCCGGAGTACAACTTCTTGGACGACCTGGATGAACCCGACCTGGAGGACTACAGGACAGACCGAGCTGTTCAGATCACCAGTACGTGTCCATTGCTGATGATTTTTTGGGGGGCGGACTGACATCACGGTGCCGGGCGGACTCAGCTTGCGAAAGTCGCGTGAACAAACTCAGAAAACAGCTTAGCCGTGATTGGTCGTTACCTGAGCAACTGTGATGTCATTTTTCGTCGAGAAGCGGCAGGGAGAGGATGCATTTCAGTTTACTGAATAGTGAGTCCATCCAAACCGAATAAATATGTGGTGGGACGTGCAACCAAGTATGGAGTCCTGTCTGGCCACAAATGGACGAATTAACTGCATGCGGCAGCTGGAGCGCCTGTTAAGCAATCGTGGCTGTGGAGCTCTTGATGTGCACGAATACTTGATGCACTGAGCCCCCTCTCGGTCATCCCGCTAGCATGATTGATTTGTCAATTCTTCTCTCTGTCGTGTGTCTTTTGCAGAGAGGGAGGTCAGCGAGCTGCTGGAGGAGCTCTTTGACACGGTCGGTTAATCTCAGATGTCTAAGATGATGCCTGCCAGTTGCTAGCCCCATTGCTAGCCTGCCACAGTCCAGTCCGAGGAGTTGATATGTTTTGGGATCTGTGTGCAGCTCCAGGATGACCAGCCAGAAGAGGAGGATGAGGAGGAGGAGCATCCAGCCGAGGGGGAGGAGCAAGAAGCCAGCCCCAACTTCAATGTCCCTCAACCTTTGTGGTAAAACGACAGCGCTTGACTTAAGTGTCCTGATACGTCCTCCTGTTGGGACGCCACGGCAAAGATGTGCTGCGAGCGTTTGGGTCAGGAGGAAGAACAATCTGGTCCTCCTGTGCAGCTTCTTCAAATAAGCCCTGTGAAGGAGAGCTGACCTAGAGAGGAAACATTATTGATGATTTGTGTTTCTTTCCTTAAGGCAATAACAATGTTTAACCTTGACTAGGTTCAATGTTCACTGCCCCCTTAATACAAAGGTGAAAAGAAAAAATAAGTCACTGTGTAGACAAGATGAATGTTGTTAACCAGAAAACATTCTTTCTTGCAATCTGTTACTCACTCTGGGGAGTCTTTGTGACGGCACTTTTTGCATTTTTTTCCCCCCCTTTGTAGCTTGGAGCCACCTTTAGCTGATATGCTAACCGCGCGGAGGCGAGCGGTCCGTGAACAATTCCCGGCCGTGCAGCATAGGAGAGCCCTGCAGGACACCACCAACCATCCGTGGCCTTCACCCGGACACGCTACCTGGCTGCTTCCCAGCTCACTGTGCCCCACCTCTGCGCACAAACTGCAACTGCAACAGCAAATCCAGCAGGTGTCCGCCTTTTCCTTGCTTTGCCAAGTAGATGAAAAAAGTCAATCCCCAAGAAATAGTCTCTTTATCTGTTCCTGTCTTTCAGCACGTACAGCTTCTGACTGAAGTTCATCTGCTGAGTCGTGGCGTCGGCGTCCTGAAACATGAAGCGTCTGTCACCAAACACTTCCTGGTCAGTCAAGGACGCAACGGAAACGCCGCTGAAAAACACAAACCAAAGGAGAATGTAACGTGTCCCGCAGGAGGAGCTGCAGCGTTTTGCCACGCGGCAGGAGCAGCTCTTCCGCGCCTCGTCTTTCCGGGCGTGCAACCTGCAGGGTGCTCTGGACCTTCTTCAGGAGATTGAGCGGAGAGTGGACCTTCCTCCTCCCACACCTCCCGTGTCCAGACGCTGGCTCCCCATCATGTCTTCGTCCACCATTAGTAAGGACGCCCCAGATTCCTCACATTAGCTTCTTCTCGCTCATGTTTGGTTCCTGCTCTGTTTAGGCCACGCCTTCCCTGTATTGCCCTCCGAGACCGCCTGGTTGCTTGCCACACGACCGGTCTTTCTCTACCCAGAACTACTTCCTGTTTGCAGCCTGGATCCTTCCCACCACACACGACCCC